CTCTCTCTCTCTCTTTAACACACATACACACTCACACACACACGCACGCACACACACACACACACACACAAACACACACACACACATACTCTGCCCCCCAGTTCCCTCTCTCTCTCTCTCGCTCTCTCTCTCGCTCTCTCTCTCTCTCTCTCTCTCTTTCTTTAGGTATCACTTACACAGATCATACATACACGTACATTGCGTGTATCTCTCTCCATGGTACTGCTGATGATTGTGCACACCTGCGTGTACATGGCATCTTGTCACCAGAAACTGCCCTCTCCAGAACACCAACGCATGGTACAAATAGTAATGTCCTCAGAATCTGATCTAAAATACTTTTTTTTTTTTTGAAGCATAACACTTCAGTGTTTTGTATGGTGTTCACTTTGATGACTTTAAAAATAAGTAGCACTTTGTAATGGCATGAGGATTTGAGACTTGATTATTGGACTCGACACGCGAAACATGCACATCGGGAGACAGTCTGCGCATGTCTATCGCCGGCACTTTTTCACACATACACTGGATCAAGGTTTGTTACTCCTTAGTCTGTAACCTGAAAACAACACAAAGCATACAGTTTACGCATGTCTGCACATACCCACGTACACACAGTGCAGTAAACCGAGGCAAATATGGTGAAAAGGGAAAACCCGGCATCTCTGTAGGCGATGATCGGAAAGATGCTGGTCGGCAAGTCAATTTGTGAGCACCACAAAGCACCATGAAGCTGATGTGTTGAGTTTTAACGTCTTAGTGGACGAAATAAAGTCAGAATATTTGGACTGCAAGTAGAGTAGTTTGCTAACCCCAGTCAGAACAAGTCACAATGGTCTTGAGAGCCAAAGTCTTGAGACCGGACGAGAAACTGCCGGCTGCACTATTGACCGGTCAGACGGAGGCCGGCCGGCAAGCCGGGTCGCCGGTCCTAGACCTTGGTGCTAGTCACTCCAGGAGCAAGTTCTTGTACAGAACTAAAAAATCGTTCCTCTGGAAGTGGTTGTTGAGCCTGTCAGAGAGCTCTGCGTCCTCGCGGTCCTTGTCGCGGATGTTGTTGTCGATGTCGAAGAGGCGGCCGCCGGTGCT